TTGTTTAGGTGTCTGTAATCCTATTGACAACTTTCCAAGTATATATAATTATTTTTCATTTCTTTTGTTGTAGAATATCTTTTCTGTTAAATGCCTCATTTATACACTCAGGTGTTTATCGATGTTATCCAGGAAGCCCTACAGAGTAAGAATTAACCTTTTGGCTTGTTATCTTTGTTGAATGCATATTTTCTACTTTATTTTCTTTAAAAAAATTTATTTATGATATATCTTGGCATAGTTATATATCTATATAATAAAATGCTTTCAGATTTTCTCAATACTCTTTAATTTTATCAAATTTCCATACTCAGAGATCCGATATTCAATATTATTTTTATATGATTTTATAATTTTTAAAACAAAATATGAATTCTTTTTCTCATTATAAAAGTCATGCTCACTGTGGGAAACTTGAGAAAAACAAAAAGGTATTTACAAAAACACCCCCATACCCTCTACTTCACAAATATTTAGTGGAAATTCAGGAAGAATTTAATATTAGAAATCTATTAATGAACTTATATTAATATATCAAAGAAAATAAATCATATCTGTTTCAATGTTCTCAGATATAATTTAATAAAAATTAATGGCCCTTTCTAACTTTAGAGAAAAAAAACCCCTATGTACAGAAAATCAGAATAAAGAGTTATAAAGATTCAAGGAGACATAAATGAAATAGAGTGGGACTGGGTGTAGTGGGAGTGGGACTGGCTCAGCCGTGTAAGTGCCTGCCCCACAAGTATGAGGTCCTTAGTTCAATCCCTGGTACAAAAAAAAAAAAAAAAAAAGAGAGAAGAAAGAAAGAAATCGATAATAGAGAAACAATAAAGGAAATAAAACCAATGCTAGTTTCTTGAAAAGATCAACAAAACTAACTGATAAACCTGTAGAAATAGACTGACCTAGTTGGGCATGGTGGTGCACACCTATAATCCCAGTACTGGATGGCTGAGGCAGGAGAATTGCCACAAATTCGAGGCCAGCCTGGATTACAAAGTAAATTGAAGGCCAGCCTGGTCTACATAGTGAGACCTTGTCTCAAAACAACAGCAACAACAACAAAGTGTAGTAGAAATAGACCAGAGACCAGTCCATAATGAGAAAAAAACTCAAATTGAAATCTAGAACAAAATAAAAGACATAACTACTGACCTTACAGAAACAAAAACAAATAAACAAACAAAATATCAAGGAATTCTATGCACACTTGTATGCCAACAAATTAGATAACCTAGATGAAAATGGGCAAATTCTTAGGAAGACAGAAATGACAAATGGATTGAAAACAAAAAACACAAATGAAACAAAAACAAGTAAAGGGTTGAATTAGTAATAAAAAGCTTTGTGCAAAGGACCACACAGCTTCATTGATAAATTCTACCAAATATTTAAAGAATAAAAACACCAATTATAAACTTTTCCAAAACACAAAAGAGTAGGAAAACCTGCTAATTAAGTTGCTTTACAAGATCAATATTACCCTAATGCCAGAACCAAAAACATCACTTGGAAAGAAAACTACAACATAAAAACCTTAAGAATGCAGACTCAAATACCTTCAGTAAAATACTACCAAACTGAATTAAAACACAAGTTAAAAAGTTTATATACCATAATCCTGTGAATTATCTCATGAATGCAAGGATGTTTCAGCATACAAAAATGTCATGCAAACTTGAACAACTATTTCTAAGATATCAATATGTGATCTATTAACTAGTGATTTCTTACTGTTTATTTTTTTGAAATTCCGTATTACTTGTACCCTTTTACTGTTTTGGGTTTTTTTCTCTTTAAATAAAAAATTTTAAAAAGTCATGCATTATTCCATGTCAATATATTCCATGCCATATTAGCAGAACAATGAATAAAAATTTAATGATCATCAAATACATAAAATGCACTTAACTGTCAAGCAGTAAACCTTGGCCTCAAATATTTTTTTAAATTTTCAGCTTAATCTAATGTAGCACCAAAATTAAGAACCTCTGTTCTATGTCTGTTCTGCTTATCTGAAATTCTTTCTTAAAGATAAACTTGCAAACTTAATTGGGCATTGAACTATTGCCATTACAAAATTTTAGATCATATGGTGAAATATGTAGGCTTTACCCTGGTAAATTTTACCTTAGAAAACGCCCTTGACCTACTACCTCAAACTAATCAAATTGATTGGAAATATAAATAATTGATTGGAAGGGAATACCAGGTTTTCAGTGTTTCAGTGGGTGTGAAAGAGTGATTTGTTTGAGGAATTAAATGCATGCACAGTCTATCAATATAACTCAGTGGTCTCTAAGGAATTTCTTTCATGGAGAATTAAGTTGTTCCAGAAGATGGTTGTCATTTAATCTTGACCAGATTATCCACAAGTATATTTAGGAATTACTCAAATGCAAGCAGTGACTAAAACCGTGATTGAACGCTTTGAATTGAACCTGATATTTAAGACTGTAAAATAATGTATCACAAATCATGTTGCCAGAATAACAACAACAAAGATCCCACAGGAACTGAGAGAGGGTGCATTCTAGTTATAATTTCTATCAATTTATTCTAGTTCTCCAGAATTAATATTAATGTGAATTCTGAAGGATTATTATAGGAGAGGAATGCCTTATTCACAGAAGACAATGACTTAGAGGAACTCAAAGCACTATTTTTATTTCAAACGTTACTGCAATAATGGTGGTTTTGAAACACAAAGATGCCAACACTGTTTATATAATGATAAATCAGCTATTACCCTAATTGAATTTAGGCAAGAAAGCTTATCCTGGCTTTCATCATTTAGTTCTCCCGAAATAAAAAAGAATATGGTTATATAAGTACTATAACTTCCAATTGCTGGGGGACAGTGCCCACTAATACCTCTCAGGTTCTCATCCCTTATCATGTCATTCGCTCACTAACTCATCTTTTTCCTCTGGCAGTAGTAAATAGCCCACATCTTGAGACTTGCTTTCACAGTGTTTGTGGTTACTCAAGAGAAGTTATAGAACAGAGACTGTCTTCAGACTCTTTTCATTTTCAATACAAGAATTTGTTGCCATTACAATCCAAAGTAATGGATCAAGGTAGATTCCAGAAAATATGACTGATGTTGAGGAAACTCAGACTACATGCTCATGAAATTCCAACTACAAAGATTCCTGGTCTAGTTGCTCAAGTGGTTGAAATAATAGGTGCCACTGTCAATATAATACTGTGCGACATATCTTAGGTCCAAGAACGTTCTCACCTATTCATTCTTTTGCTTGACACATATTTACATCATTAAGTCTCTACTCCTAGAGATAAAATACTGTTGGGGAAGAAAAGTAATAAATGAGCAATAAGTACATTTATGACTTAATCTAAGACAATGATAAAAACCAAGCAAGGTAAGGAAGAAGGTGATGGCATTATACAGTTGTAAGCACCCAGTCTCTCTAAGAAGGTTGTAGCTGAGTAGAGGAATGAGTGAAAAAAGCGGCTGGAAGAAAAATAGGTGGGTATGGGTTGGCATCTTTTGTTTTTATTCTTTCCTGGAATCCCACATGGTAGAGGTTGGGACTGACTTCCATCAACACAACCTTTTACTATTCTTTTCAATTCTCTGCTTGGATTTAGTACTGTGATATAAAATATGTTTTGTCTGTTTTGCAACAATGGGGATCAAAGCCAATGCCTCACAAATGTTAGGCAAGTGCTCTGCCACTGAGGTACATCACCAGTGCTTTCTGAATTTTATTTTGAGATGGGGTCAAACTAAATTATTCAAGTCAGCCTTGAATTGGTGATCCTCCTGCCAAGTAGCAGGGATTACAGGCCACAAAATTGTTTTTAAAGAGGTTTTTAAGGAGTAGTTAGTATATGATAAACAGTGTATGTTTAAATTATAACATTTAATGTTTTTACATGTTCACCCAACCATCACAATAATCAAGATAATATACCCATCACTCCCAAAAAGTTTCCTTGTCCACTTTCGTAATCTCTTCCACTTGTCCTGGACTTTGTCGGGCACTTTCCCTGGGCGTAACTGTTCAGAGACTCATCTATGCTGTAATGTGTATCAACTGTTGATTCCTGTTTTTGCTGAGTGGAATTCCATTGTATATATTATTAATGTTTATCAATTCCTTTGTTTATGAACATATGGATCATTTCCACTTTGGAGCTATTTTATGAAAAGCCATTATGTAGGCACAAGCCTTAGTATGAACATATGCTTATTTTTCTCTTGAGAAAATACTTGTTGTGAAATTTCTAGACTGCATAGCAGATATATGTGTAAAATATTTTAAACTATATTTTCTACATTTGTGTTTCTATCACCAGTGTGTAAGAACTCTAAGTTTTGGACACCCTAAACCACACTTACTATGATCAGTATATTTAATTTTAAAAATTTGAATTGTTGTATAGTGATAGCTCATTGCACTTTAATTTATATTTTCCTAATGACAATGACATCAATGACATTTAACATCTTTGCATGTGCTTATTTACCATCTATGTATCTTCTTGAATGAAAAATTTATACAAATGTTTTGCCCATTTTTAAGTATTGAATTTTAAAACTTTCTTATGCATTCTGGATAAAAGTCATTTATTAAACAATTGCTTTAGAAATAGTTTTTAGTTGTGCCTTGTCTTTTCATTTGCCTTTTTTTTCTCCTAACAATTACTTGGAAGAGCAAAAGTTTTTAAGGTTTTTTTTTTAAAAAAAATTCACTTGTTTAATGGTCTTTGGGTAATACCACATGCTTCAATCCATCTTTGAACAGTAAACCCTTTGCCCATAATAGCTTAGTGAACTCTTGGCCAGCAAAGGGGTAGGAAAAATATATGACCTGATATTTATTTACTATTCTTCTGGTAGATTGATATCTTCTAAATCCTTATGGGTAAATGTTACCATTATGAAAAACATTCAGAAATGTTTTGCTTTATAATTCTGTCACACACTCCTTTTAGCACACCTTCTTATTAAATTATCCAGCTATAAGTCTTTTTTAAAAGTTATTTATTTTGAAGGTAGTAAAATACAACAAAACAAGACAGAACAAAGCCCATCAAAACAGTGCAATGAAATTGATACAGAACTTCAGGACACCAGAATAACAGTAATAGGTACCATAGTATATCTTGTTATCTTCACAATAGTTGTCCATTCAATCAGGTATAGTAAAATGAAACCAAAAACAGAACATTATAAAACCTATCAAAAGGGGGCTGGGGATTTAACTCAGCGGCATAAGCGCCTGCCTTGCAAGCGTATGGTCGTGAGTTCACTCACGGTACCAAAAAAAGAAAAAGGAAAAAAACTATCAAAACAGAATACTGAATAGAACAAAACAATCAGAACAAAGCAAAACAATATTTGTCTTCTAAGAGAAGATAGAAGGAAATCCTCCATATTTGCTGTATTGTATACAGGCATCCTCCCAAGAGATGCTCAGACCTCTGGCCCCAGGTCAGCATAATCAAACCAACAATACAAGCATTTAGTTGCTTTATGTGCCTTAGTTGCTATCAACTCTGGCTGTCCTGGACACTATGCAGTTGCTAATGGTTGGGAGGGCACACACATGGGACTTTTGATTCCGGTAAGCTCACAGGATACAATGACTTGTTCTTCCCCTGGCATGCCTGCTGCTTGCTTATTGCCTCCGCCACTTACCAAGAAGGAGGGCTTGTTGCTTTCTTGCTTGGCCCCCCAAGTTCCAACATGGCTGGATCTCAGGAGACGCTGACTTGTTCTCTTCCTGGTGCGCCCAAAAGCTTTTAAGTTTAATGAAATAAAATTTATGAATTATTTTCTTTTATGAAGTATGCTCTTGTGACTATCTAAAAATTCTTAAGGTCATAAAAATTTTCTCTTAAGCATTATGTAGGCATTTTTACAGCTTTGTTTTATATTTACATCTATTAGCCATGTTGAGTTAATTTTTTACATGATACAAAGATGGCTCAAAGTTTTTCTTTTTTAATTTTTTCCTTTTTCTGCTTGTACAGGAATACACCTTTCCTAATACTATATATTGGTGGCATCCTTTCTCCACTGAATTGCCTCTGTATCTTCTTTAAAAATCAGTTGCCATTATCTGTGAGTCTATTTCTAAATCTTTTATGTTGTTTTATCAATTTCTTATTTAGCTTGTTCTATCTTATGCTGTTTTAATTCCTTTAGTTTTATAAGAAGTCCTGAAATTAGGTCGTGTTAGCCTTTAGCTGTTTATGAAGGATCTCCAAGGAGCTCGATTCTCATAACATCACAGTCATTCAAAGAACCAATATTCCTGTAATTCATTAGGTCCCTCAGCAGCAACTCCAGTGTTCCAAATCCATCCTCTGAGATGAGATGCTGCAAATCATATTTCTCCTCTACCACCGGAATCCACTGGTAGGCTCTGTAATACAAAGGCAAGAGAGAAAGCTACACTGGTGGAGGGAAAGGACTTCTTCCTTCCTGTTTGCTTCCTGCGTTCATGAGGATCACCCCAGTACTGCATCTTCACCCCAGCAGCTGCAGAGCCTCCTGTGGTGCACAGGAACTCATTTTGAAATTTATCAAACAATTGGAGGACAAACCCACCACACCTGCACCTCCATTCACAGGGCACCACAACAGCAATTATTATTATTATTATTAAGAGAAATAAAATATAACAATAAAACAGTTTCAAGACAGGCTAGTAGAATAACAAAATTTAATATGTTGCATATTGTTATCTTCATAGCAGTTATTCAGAGAAGAACACATAGGCATGAAATATTGTCCAAACAAACCTTTCTTTTTAATGACCTAAGAGAAACTAGCTGTGTAACTATCTTAACTATTTTGTGTGCATATGTGTATTTTTTCTTTCCCCTTCCTTTCTTTCACCTTTTCCCCATCCAGTTTCTCTTTTCTTTTGAACAGTTTATTCTGAATTCACAGTATCTATTTTACATATTAGACCTTTATTTGTTCAGTTTCTGAAACTAGTGATACAATATGATGTTTACACATGTGGGTCTGATTTATTTCACTTATCAGTAAGGTCTCAAGTTGTGTCCATTTACCCATAAGTCTCAAGTTGATCTTTCTTTATGGCTGAGTAGCACTCTATTATATAAAAAGGCACTTTTTTATCCATTCCTCAACTGAAGGACACTTAGGCTGTTTCCAAGATCTGGCTATTACAAATTGTGCTGCTATAAACATGGGTGCACATATATCACTGTGTTATGATTTTTTAATTTTGGGAAGATACCCAGCAGGAGAATAACTGGGTCTAATGACACCAATAATCCTAGATTTCTGAGGAATCTCCAGACTGATTTCCTCAGTGTTGAACCAGTCTATATTCTCATCAACTATTTTTCTTCAGTGAGATGGAATCTCAGTATTGTTTTAATTTGCATCTCTCAAATGACCAATAATGTTGCACATTTTTCATGTATTTACTTGCCATTTTTATTTCTTCATCTGAGAAGTGTATATTTTTCTCAGATGCTCATTTTTGGATTGGGTCTTCAAATTTGGTGTGGGGGTCTGAGTTTTTCAATTCTTTATATGTTAATGTAAGTCCTTTGTCTGAGAGAAAATTAGCCAAATATTTTTCTTACTCTTTGGGTTGTCTTTTTACTCTGTTAGTGATTTTTTTTGTTATGCAAAAGCTGTCAAATAAGGTTAGATCCTATTTGTTGATTCTTTGCGGTATTTCCTGGTGATCTGGGTTTTAATCATGAAGTCTTTTGCCTATACGTATGTCTTCAAGATTTCTGCCCATTTCTCTTCCAACAAATTTAGTGTTTCTGTTTTAATATTTAGATCTTTGATCCATTTTAACTTTAGTTTAGTGCATGGTGATAGACCTATGTCTAGTCTCTGATATGTGGAAAACCAGTTTTTCCAGCACTATTTATTAAACAGGCTTTCTCCCAATGAACTTGTAAGCTCCTTTGTCAAACAGAAGGTGGCTGAGAGTGTTTGAAGTTGCATCTGCATCTTCTATTGTATTCTATTGATTGGTTTTTTTGTTTGTTTTCTTTTCATTTGTTTTTGCCAATATCATGCTGATTTTATTGCAGTAGCTTTTCAGGACAGGAATTGTGATGCCCTCTGACTTGCCTTTGTTGTCTAGAATTGCTTTTGCTATTCTAGGTCTCTTTTGGTTCCAAATGACTTCTGGGACTATTTTCTCTAGTTCTGTGATATATGCTAATAGTATTTTGATTGAGATTGCATTAAATCTATATAACAATTTTAGGAGTAGATCCATTTTATCTATTTTGGCTCTTCCCATCCATGAGCAAGGGATTTCTTTCCATTTTCTGATATTCTTTTCAATCTCCTTTTCCAGAGTACTATAAATTTCAATGTACAGATCTTTTATTTTCTTTGCTAGATTGATTCCTAAGTATTTTATTTTGAGGATGCTATTTTAAAGAGTGTGGTTTCCCTGATCTCTCTCTCTCTCTCCCTCTCTCTCTCTCTCTGACTTCATTGTGTACAGGAATGTTATTGATTATGAGTGTTGATTTTGTATCCAGCTACACTGATGCATTTGGTTGTTAAGTCTAGAAGTCTTTTGATAGAGTTTTGGAGTCTTCTATGGAGAGTATATGGTCGTCTGTGAATAAAATGATAATTTAATTTTTCCTTTCATATCTTTATTCTTTTTCTTTCTCTTCTCTAATTACTCTGGCGAATATTTGCAGAACTATATTGAACTAGAGTGTTAACAGTGGACATCCTTATCTTGTACCTTTAGAGTGAAAGCTTTCAGTTTTTGACCACTTAGTATGATGTTAGCAGTTGATTTGTTGTAGATGGTTGTTAATAGACAGAGGTAAAAACCATCCATTCCAAATTTTTGTAGGATTTGTATCATGAATGGATGTTGGACTTTGTCAAATGATTCTTATGCATCTATTGAGCTGATCATGTGATTTTTGTCTTTGGGTTTGTTAATGCAGTGCATTGCATGTATTGATTTGCATATACTGAAACCATCCCTGTGTCCCTGTGAAGAATCCTACTTGGTCTTGGTGTATAATTTTCTTGATGATGTGCTGCATTCTGTTAGCCAGAGTCTTACTAAGAACTTTTTTGTCTATATTTGTTAGGGAGATTGGGCTGTAGTTTGGGCTGTAGTTTTCTTTTTTGTTTGGGTTCTTCTCTAGTTTAGGAATAAGGGTAATATTTGCTTCCAGGAATGATTTTGGAAGTATTGCTTCCCTTCTAATTTTCTTAAAAAATTTCAGCATTAGTGGCATTAGTTCTGCTCAATTTCTTGTAGCATTCAGCAGTGAATCCAACAGGGCATAGGGGTTTTTTTTTCTAAGAGGGTAAAACAAAACATAACAAAAGCAGATCGGAACAAAACAATGTAAATGACACAGGATTTCAAAGTAAGACAGTAGGAGATCAACTGTGGCTACCATAATGTCTCTTGTTTTCTTCTAAATAGTTATCTGTATCTTCACACATAATGAATTCATACAAAATAGTATAAAACTGATCAAAACAGAATAACGAAGGCATTACAGGCCTTCAAAACCAGACAATAGGAAAATCAACAATGGCTACTGTAATGTCTCTTGTTCTCTTTAGAATAGCTGTCCATACCTTCATGTATGTTGAAATTAAATAATACAAAACAGACGAACAACATTCTAAACAAAGAATAAAAGTGTTACTTGATTTCACAGCGTGATGACAAGAAGTCAGCAATGGATACCAGTGTCTCTTTTTCTTCAACATAGCTGTTCATTTCATCACATATAATATAATAGATTCTCATGAACTGTTTAGGAGAGGTTCTAGGCATATATAAGCCTCTACATGTACATCTATTCTTTCTGCATTATAGGGAAAAACAAAACAAAACAAATTACTAGAAAAAGAAGCAAAAAAAAAAACAAATAAAAACAATAGCAAAGAGCATAAAACAGTGATGATATAGGCCTTCAAAACAAGATGGTAGGAACATAACTTAGATTATTATTTTACATAATGACCTTCAAGAATTCCTCAGATCACCAGAAAAAAACATGCAAAATTGATCCAATCCTATGAATATTAACTGTTTTATTGTAGGAACTATAGAACTTGTAGCACAATCATCTTAGCCATGTTAAGTGTGTTTATACAAATTTAGATATTTTTTCTTTTCTCTTCTTTTTCTCCTTTTCCCTGAGATATTATTTTTCCCTCTTCGAGCAGATTCTTACCCTTTCACAGAATTTATTGAGGATTTTGTATCTTATGTACTCTTACCATTTCTTACATAGAGAGACAATATGGTATTTACACATGTGAGTTTGATTTATTTCACTTATGAGTATGGTCTCAAGTTGTATTGATTTACCTATAAATATCTCACTGTAATCATTCTTTATAGCTGAGTAGTACTCCACTGTATAAAAATACATCTTTTTTATCCATTCCTCAGTTGATGGGTATTTAGATTGTTTCCAAGTTCTGACTATTGCAACTTGTGCTTCTATAAACATGGGTGCACATATATCACTGTGGTATGATGTTTTCAGTTCTTCTGGGAATATGCCTAGAATTGGAATAGCTGGAAAAAATGGGACTTCCAATCCCAGCTACTGACCTCCTCAGTGGTTGCACCAGTCTACATTCCTACCAACAGTGCAGGAGAGTTCCTTTTCCCCCACCGCCTCTCCAGTATTTGTTGTTGGTAGTTTGCTTGATCCTGGCCATTCTTTCAGGAGTGATATGGAATCTCAGGTTTGTTTTAATTTGCATTTCTCTAATGACCAATGATGCTAAACATTTTTTCACATATTTATTTGCCATTTGTATTTCTTCATTTGAGAAATAAGTATTCATCTCAGATTCCCATTTTTCGATTTGGGGGTCTGATTTTTTAAAATTCTTTATATGTTCTAGACAGAAGTCCTTTCTCTGAGGGACAGTTTACTGAGAATTTTTAAAAATTCATGGGTTTCATTTTTACTCTGTCAGAGATTTCTTTTGACATGCAAAAACTGTTTAATAAGACAAGATCCCAATTATGGATTCTGGGAAGTATTTTCCATGATGTTTGATTTTGGCTCATGAATTCTTTGCCTACCCCTATGTCTTCAAGATTTCTACCTACTTGGTCTTCCAGCAGATTTAGTGTTTCTGTTTTAATATTTAGATCTTTGATCCACTTTGGCTCACATCACGTTATTTAGAATTCTTATAGTTTCTTGATTTAGTTTTGGAAATTTGATTGTGTCTAGGAATCTGTCCTTTTCTTCCATGTTTTTTCATCTTTCTAGAATATAGGGTCTTCCTTTCATTCTTTTGATTGGTTTTATACTGTTTTCTTATGTTTGATATTATTGCATGTGATGATATGGTCAACTGTTTCAAAGAAGAGATATTATAGTAGCCACAGTTGATGTC